CTCCCAGTACCAGCTTTTAACTCAAGGCACCTCCCTTTCCTCAACTTCAGGTGAGGACCATCATCTCGGCCTCTTTTGTAAAGCACTTGAAGATACAGAAAAGCCGTAATTGTTATTTAACAGGCAGAAAAGGAGCCCACAGCCACGCACCCACCAGTCCTGCAGCTGCCAGAGCTACCCTGCCGCCACCTCCAACCAAATAAATTTGGCCAAGGAAAACGGACAATATGTAGCACTTCAAGCATCTCAAAAACTGCACCATTGGATGAGCTGCTGCTGCTGCTTTTGCCACAACAAAGCATCAAACTCCTTGTGTCCAGTTTAGAGACCTCAAAAATGCGTGGAGGTGTTTAAAGTCTGGGCTGCCCAGGGAGGTGGTGGAGTCACCATCCCTGGAGGTGTTTAAGAAAAGCCTGGACGTGGCACTCGGTGCCATGGTCTGTTGACGTGTTGGTGTTAGGGCAAAGGTTGGACTCGATGATCCCAGAGGGCTCTTCCAAGCAAATCGATTCTGTGATTCTGTCCTCACTCCTATTTCCCAATTGCTGTAGAGATGCAAGGGCTCGGCAGGCAAGCCCATGGGAAGAGCCTGTCCCCTGCATTGGCAACCCACAGGCACCCAGCTGAGGATGTAAGGACAAGGAGGGACTCACCAGCCACCCAAAGCAGTCACCCACCGTCTTGTTTAACATGAGAAGGACATTTCTCATCCCGGCAGCATTAATTCAGAGAGCTGCTCTGTCCCAAACCCACTCCCTGATCCTTCTGGAAGACCCTTGGGTCCCAAAACCAGGCAGCCTCTGCCTGCTGCATGCTTGTTCACTTGGCGTGCTGCGACACGCTCCCTTAATCCGCAGGATTTTCCTTCCCAACACAGCCATTCCGGATATAAATTAAGAGGGAATTCATAAGATTCAGGGGTTTTCATGTGCTGAAAGGGAGCGGGTACTTTTCAACAGGCCGCTGAGTCACTTGCGCAGCGAGGATTTCGGAGGCAGAGCAGATGCGAGGAGGTGGGGGGACACCTGTCCATCTCCCCCCACCCGGGAAGGCTGAGCCCAGGATGTCTCGGACATGTTACCACCGCTCGCTTTGGAGAAGAGAAGGAGCATCCCCTCCTCCCTGCCTCCCCTCTGCCCCGGGGGGCTGCAGATGGAGCAGCAGAAGGAAACTACCCAGCTCCAACTTGAACGGAGCCGTCTGTAAGCACGGCACGGACGCGGTTACAAAGCACAGCCGGAGCTCCCCAGCGAGGTCTGCAGATGGAGGAGGGCTCATCCCGTATTTTACCTGTCCGACAGCTTCACTGCCGGGAAGCCACAAAAGCTTTCAAAGGACTCGAGGACTTGGGAAACTTGGGAGAGGAGTCACTCAGGCTGAGGGGAAAAAAAGCCTCACGGCAGGGAAAAAACGTTAAATGAAAAAGAGACAGGGCTAGAAAAAGTCAATTGTAGGAAACTGGATGTTTCCGCGGAAAACACACAGGTGGTTGTGGCTTTGCTCATGCTGCTTTGGGGAGCACGCTGCAGGCGCTGCAGCCCTGGGGCAAAGCATCGCCGTGGACCTCCCCCTGGGGCTCTCCTGACCCTGAATAAATACTTGCCCATTAAATCCCAGTGAAATGAGACCTCCGTGCCAAATACGCACCATGGCAGGAGGTGCCGTGGCATAAGTGCCATGCCAGAGGCATAAGCCATGGTGAGGGGCAGTGTAAAACCTTGCTGGCTTGGGAGACAGCGGATACTTGAATGCAGAATCGGTAGAGAAAGGCAGTCCCTGCTCAGCCAGGCTGGGGACGGTCCCCTGTTAGGGACCAGGCCACGTGGAAAGCTTGGGCAGCAGATGCCCTCCAAAGAGGCCAAAGGCTTTCCCATCTTTGGGAATGAAGCCCAACATGCGGTGGGTCTGAAGAGCACGCTGCGGTCCTGCCAGCGCCGTCCCCCCGCTGCTTCCAGAGGAGCATCCCCAGAAGTCCCATTTCTGGGGGGACGTGGCCTGGACGAGGACGGGAGCAGAGCCAGCACAAGGGCTGCACCTCACAAAAGCCAGGCTGGAGGCAACGTGATGATGTTCCAGAACCACTTCTGGGGATAAACATCACCTGGCATGAAGACTTACTTACGGTAAAAGGCAGTAACAGGAGAAGGTCAAACGGAAACAAGTGGATCACGAATAAGTATCGGCTCCAGCTCAGCTGCACACCGGCAGCCGGACACGGCCCTCGGCACAAACGCCAGCCCAACGACCGCAGCAGCCCCATACCATCATGTTGCATTTCCCAGTCCCCTCGTCGCACCTGCAAACAGGGCACGCAGCACCAAAGCGCTACCCTTGACTACATCCCTACCAATTTTTTGGCAGCCCGACGGTCTTTCCATAAACACATGGTCTACAATTCACTCTGAAGCAATACTGGGCACCATGTTTTTACCAAAGCACCTTGCACTCGAGCGCTGCAATTGCTTTCCCCCCGGCCACGGTGAGAGGTGAGCTCTGGTCCTCGCTTGCTGGAGCCAGGACCCAGACCCTGCCACCCCATCCCGGCTCTGCAGTCACCCAAGGAGCAGGACTGCAGTACGACCCGCTGCACCCGGCAATCAGCTCGGTAGCTAGGTCCCTAATTAGGGTCACGTTGTGAGCAGTGGGCTAACGAAGCCGGCCAGTACACAGGTTGGGAGTCCTTTGCCTTCATCTCTCTTCCCAGCGCAACACCTCCTCACCGCGTCCTGGCTCTCGCCGCCTGCCAAAGGGACCACATAATAACGGAGATTTCCCTACCCGTCCCCCCGGGGACCAGCTGCTTTCCCACGAGACAAGGGACCTGGCCTGAAGCACCTTTCGGAGATGCCTGTGCTTCTCCCTGGGCATTGGGGGGTCCTGCTGCTGGAGATGAGATCTCCCGCATCCAGGGTGGCAGCTCTGCAAGGAGGAAAATAATCTGGGAGACTGAAATGAAAACCTCTATGGCCTTCAGCCTGCCCAGGAGGGATTTCACCCACCTACCTCTGCCGATAAAGCTGCCCGGCATCTGCACTATAAAATGATAGCAAAAATTCAAACACCCCCATCCTAGCAAAACCTAAATGACTACAAATCATCAAAGTACCAGCTTGATGGAGAAATCACTTCCTTCCTTCGCAGGCACAACAGGATGCCAAAATTAAAACCTCAGATATCCTTTTGGATTTCATGATTAAGTTCAGCTGTATGCAAAATACCTCATTAGTGTTGGCTGGAGAGAGAAAAAAAAAAAAGCTATCTATTTATTTTGGTTTGTGTAATAAAATGAAGGGGAATAACTGTTCCAGGAGCAGGGTCCCACCGGATGAAGTCCCCTTTTTCTACAGCAAGTTAATAAATCAGATTAAAGGCATTTAGGTTCTGCATGGGAAGGACAACTCCAGTTCCCCTAAATAGGAAAGTGAGTAGTTTTCTGAGGATTTGAGGGATTTAAGAAACATGGCAAAGCTTTGGGAAGGCTTCCAAAGCACTAAATTACTGCTAGATACAGCAGCTCAGGACAATAGCAAGCGATTGCCTCAAGAAGCCCACCGAAAACAGATTCCCCGGCCCCGATCCCTGCCCTGCTCAGGAGATGCTCAGGTAGCAGAGATCCTGCTGCATTATGTTATTCCTCTTCCAAGTTCAACATTTCATGGAGCAGCTACAACGCAACAGCCGACCTCTCTCCAAGGATAATTTAACATTGTTCTGATACAGGTTTCCACATAACGGCTCCCCTAAGATGCAGAATATTTGATTAAAACTAAAATGCAAAATAAACACTGGTACTTTGCAACCCAGAGCCCAGGGCAGGACAGTCCTGCTTAGCTGGGTCACAAGAGGTTCACTTTTTATCATGTCGTATTGCTGTTAAATAATATTAACTACTAAATACACTGAAATAGGCTGTTCAAAGAGCCAAGATCCTGGTCCACTTTCTGTCCTCGCCTCAGTTTCCCACATGTGTCGGCACAAGTTATGGTATGTCCTTGTTACTCATTAATGGCAGCCAAGCACATTTCCACGAACAGGACTTACCTTACCTGTCCCTAGACCCGATCCTGCGTAGGGCAGAATAACAAATATAAAGTCTTTCCCTCAAAAAATTCATTTAGTAAAAGATACAATCAAAATGAGCTGAGAAGGGAGGAAGGAGAAAGGAAATGCTGAAAACCAACTGCTGGCTGACTGCAAATCAGGAGAGGGAAACATCTGCCATGAGGAGTTAGTTATAAAGATAATTATATCCTTAATGAATAGCAGGGTCTTTTAAAAAAATAATTCGCCTCGATTCAAGTAATGGAGGAAAAAATGTAGGTTTTAGACATGCACGGGAGATGCAGGATGGTACAGCCCTGGCTTCACCCACTCCTAGTTCAAATCGGGTCTGGCCATTATCCCCAACAAATACCCACTCGCCGACCTCAAAGAGCCGAACCAGGGATCCCCGTTTAATTCTGCACACCCATCTTTTGCAAACAGCCCGCGCGGTTGGCGGCAGCTTCCAGGGGCTGAGGGGAAGCCACCCCCGGGAACCAGGCACCTCTCTCCTGCCTACCAGGGCAGGACAGTGGTTTCCAGCATCGTCATCCCAACACTTTAACCCAGTGTTAGATCCATGCTTTCGAGTTATTTTTAAAACATCAACAAAGCACAGGATGCCAAAAGAAGCCAGATGTCGGCTCAGTCTCAAAGCCGGGCTAGTCTTGTTGCAGAAAGCCAGGGAGAAACGAGCGGCCACCACACTCAAGATCTCAAGAATGTGCTAAAGGCAAATGCACTCTTCTCCCATCCCCGAGACTATTTTTTCCTTCAGCTATTTCAGTTGATTGAGGCTATAATAAGAACAGGAAACCTAACACCAAGGTTAAAAGTGCCCGGCATCGGTTTGGGTCCTGTTGGTTCAGGTTTCAATGGGTTCGTGTGTGTTAAATGCAGATTATTCCAGTACATGGGACTAGGAACCATTTTACTGAATTACCTTCAAGATAAAAAAAATCAGTTCCCAGGCAATGTTATTCACTCAATCAGATTGCCTATAAAGAAGCACGGAATAAATAAATACGAAAATTAATTAGGGAGAAAAGCAAAATAAATAGCCACACTATCTTATTGGTGCATTCATCACAGGCTGCAAAGAACAGCAGCTTGACTAAATACTTTCCATATACAGCTTCCAGACTAAAATCTGTTGCTGAGCCACATGAGCAGCTCGGGAATAATTTCTTTTCCTTTTTAACAGAAGTTTCTCGATGTAGTTTTCTTTCCTTCCAGCTGAATAACACCCAGAGATGGCACTTCTCTGCAACTCACCCACACACAGCGCTGCTGTTTTCCCAACAAACGTTACCTAAAGGATATGGGGAAACCCGGAGAGATCGCATCCTGTGCCCTCGCCTGAAATCCAGGGCTGCCGGAGGTTTTCCCCCAGGCTGCTGCCCGTTTCCCGGCGCAGAGCCCCGCTGGGATGCTTTCCCAAGGTGTCAGGCTGTGGTTTTAAATCCTCAAAAGCTCAAGCTGTAGAAGTGCAGAGACAAAGGACTGAGACCAGTAAGCAGGTTTGTTACTGGATTTGCTGATTAAAAGCAGTGAGCTCACAGGCAGCATCGGCAGCAGAACAACGGCAGAGAAACAACAGCACCCTGGGCTCGGGATTCCCTGCTACTCACCGATGCACCGCGGGAATTTGCCCAGCAAACCCTAGCCACGATTATCTTTTAGAAGAGAAAAAGGTATTTAGCTATTTGACCAAGTCAAACACACTGTATATCTCCTAGAAGCAGTTTTTAATGCTTCTCTCCCCTGAACCCAGTGTTGCCCCATGGTGTTTTCAGTCCTCGCTCGGTGCGGGGTCTGTGCTGGCAAGGGCTGCGACCACAATCATCCCTTTGGGGCCAAAAACCTCCAAACGTGTCCGCTAATACCGACAGAGCCAGCCTTTACAGCCGGTGAGGGAGGCAGAAGGAACTTGCTAGCGCAGAGCAGTAACTCTGGATTTCCACCCGCAAGTTTCCAAGACCTCCCTCAACTCTGTAATGACCCGACACTGATTTCCAGCCCTTTGAAAACACGAAGGATGCCAACCCCATTTTTAGCAATTATGAGGTCTCTAATTTTATTCCAGGTCATGGCATTTATATTTTCATTACCCGCAAACTCCAGGGTCATTACAAATAGGAGGCCACAGTGTCGGTGCTTAACGGCTGTTTATTTCAACAGCATTGCAGAGTTAATAAATGCAATTCAACTCCTGAAAGCCAAGTGCCTTCCTGACCAGATAACACAGCCTACACCCAGCTGACCAAACCCATACGCCACTGGTTTCTATAGGAATAGAGCTGGCACCTATGGGAGTGGTATGTGAAATTTCACAGTGGAAATAATTTATTTTTCACTACTCAGATGCTTTTCTTTTAATGTATAGGAAGCTTCAAGTCCTCTCCATCTCAGAGATGCTCTGAAAGGGAGGAGGAACGTTTTACTTTATTACCAGGGGCTTATAACACGACATGCTCTAAACAGTCAGAGACACGGTAGTCTTCAATGAGTCTTTAAAGCAAGACTAAGTGTTTTTCTAAAAGAGGTGCTTGAGCTCAGATCACACGCAGGCATTACGGAGTGTGTCTTGGGCTGAGGGAAGACATAAATAATCCTAACGCACCACAAAATTTTGCGG